GTGTTTCATTGTCTGAATATGGCACTTAACACATGCTGCTTGGTATGGGGCATTTGAACCAGTACGAGTACAGGAGCTCAGTATCGGGCTGATACCAATACCAATTAGCATTAGCATCCCTAATTATTATTAATGGTTTATATTTAAACGTAATACTTTATACTTTATATTCTGAAAAGAACATTTAACATTTACTTAAAAATAATAAAGGAATAAGCCTTTTTAAACTTTATTTACAGGAACTGTTTTTCCCTAATTTCTTTTCAATTTTATCAAAAATAAATCAAATCATTTATCTATATGGTTTTCTTCTTTTTGGACACTAATTTCATTATAATAAAAGTGAACGGGGACTATGGTTTAAATGATTAACCATTAAAAACACCATAAAAGTAGTTGCACTACAGCAGGGGTGCCCAACCCTGCTCCTGGTGATCGACTGTCCTGCAAAGTTTAGCTCCAACTCTAATCAAAGACACCTGCCTTTAATTTTTAAGTGATCCTGAAGGCAAAGTTTAGCTCCAACTCTAATCAAAGACACCTGCCTTTAATTTTTAAGCGATCCTGAAGACCCTAATTAGTTGCTTCAGGTGTGTTTGATTAGGGTTGGAGCTGAACTTTGCAGGACAGTCGATCGCCAGGAGCAGGGTTGGGCACCCCTGCACTACAGCATATTGTAGTAGTGTGGCGGTAGTATGCTATTCCGAATTCATCCATACTGATCTGGATCTCACGTTCAACTCATTGACTAATTGATAATTCCTTGTTTCCTAGCTCCTCCCTCCTTCACCCCGTTATAAGGACCTCTGTCGAATTAAGTAGTACATATCAGTTCGCAATCAGTTGTAATAGCATACTAATGTTGTATACTGTTTTTTTATTTCTCTTATTTAAATATAGCCCGAGGAGAGAGTCACGTTTTACCTTCGCGATTTAATTAGGCCTTGTATTTCACGTATTTCAACAGTGCATCTTGTTTTGATTAAGAAAACGTCTTAATTAATTACATACCAGCACGCTAAACGCAACTGATGTCAACAGCGTTTCAATGAGCAATATTCCAATACGTCTTATTTTGGATCATTCTTGCATCTTATCCTTGAATAATTGAAAAGGTCAATTTATAACTGGAACGACAAGACGGTGAGTAATTAAAGCGTTTAAATGTTTGGGTAAACTTTTTCCTGTAATATTCATTCAATGTTAGATGCTGTCCACCAGATGGCAGTCTATCATGTATAAAATGTATCATGGTCTTAATATTTGACATTGTGCAGTCAACAGACCGGCCTTTCAGGTATATGATCCGTATATGTCTTACTTCACTTGACAGCAACTTGTTATGAGTTGTTAATAATATCCATCAAATTAAAAGCTGTTTTTTTTTTTAAATGTTATCTTTGCTGAATGCATGAATGTAAACTAGAGGCTTTAAAATGGCTTTATGTACAGTGTTTAGAGAGCCATGCTAAGAAGAATCTACTTTCCACAGGCCTTAATGTGCTCTTAACCTAATGAAGTCAGGAAAAACCAAGAATAAATTGACTTTGTCAATGGTACGATTCAAAACTGTGAGTCTGTACTGTCTGGTTAAACATTTACTGCCCTGTATTTTACAAATAACACAATGTCCCACAGTGTATTTTAGCATGATGTCATAGTTCTTGTGTCCTAACTAAACACTGCAGCACTGGCTGTGCTGCAGTGCACACACAGGTACACATTACAGCACACCTGATTATTATATTTTACAAAGGTGACAAAGTGAGGTCTTAGTGTAATGCCTCTAACAGTCTATAGCAATTGTGCTGGGGAGTCTGGGTATAAAAATAAAGTGAGCTTTAACAGTAATTGGCAGACCTCTGTGTTTCTCTGCACTGTTGACATTGGCATGGTTGTGGTACTCTCCGTAAATGATGTGGATGTGGAAATCAAATTTTTTTTTCGTGTTCATTTTTTGGAACAGTAACCAGATGTGTTTTGTCTCCTTGCTTCGCAGATAATTCTTAAACTATGCTTCTATTAAGAAAAGGAAACCGTAGCTTCCATGTATGACGCATTCATTTTTCTTCATAATAGGCATGTCTGCATATGCCAGCAAGGCCAAAACACTTTATGTGCTGATTTTTCAGTATCTTTAGAGGAAGATAGATTAAAAGTATCTTCTGACCTTTCAAAAGAAGGTGGAGGAAAGAAAACAGTTTGAAACTGATTTTAATTTACATTTATATACATTCAACATACGGCAAAATAAATGCTGGGTGACAGGCAAGATACACTAAAGTGGTATAATAATAATAATAATAATAATAATAATAATAATAATAATAATAATAATAATAATAATAATAATAATAATAATAATAATAATAATAATAATAATAATAATAATAATAATAATAATAATAATAATAATAATAATAATAATAATAATAATAATAATAATAATAATAATAATAATGATGATTTTTTTAAAATGTGTAAAATAGTCTTAGAAGTATAGCACCACACATCAGTATCCCAAAAGTATTTCAAGTCAACTGCCCATGTATTAGTAATGAGTAAACAGAACAAAATGACCTGTCAACTCATGGTCATAATTTTATTCACAAGGAAGTGGCACATCTGTAATAACTATACAGAGGCACAGCACGAATCATGATTTTAAAGCCTGATGATTTGTTACTTCATTTAATCTTCATGAAAGACCTGTGTAGATGCATTAGAGGCCGAAAATGCCTTGTGTTGCCTCTTTCTGCAAATGTGCTACAGGCTAATTATGTGCATGTAAAGTGTTCAGTAAAACGCAGCCAAACCTCACAAGTTATAAAAGTCCAGAGTAGAAGTGAAAACTGCCACAGTAAAAACTCCCCATACCAGGAGAGACTTTAGACTTAGGATATTGTCAGACACCAAAAGCATGGTTGTCTGCTGTTCACTGGATTCATTTGTAGTTAAACACCTCATAGAGAGCTTTGATAAATGATGCATCAGAGATCCTCTCCTGCTCTGTCTGTGGTCATGTAAAGGATAACCTGAAGAATGTTTATATTCCAGGCTGGTCCATTATGATAGGAAAGATCCTGGAGTAGTTCACTAAAGGTTCCTCTAGCCACCTCTGGTTGTTTCCCATTTAGGGAGTTCTCTGTACCGTTAAACCTATATGTCATGTTGGTTGAGGTCCCTTGCTGCCATTATGGGCTGTTGGAAGGCCTCTTCTAATGGAACTGACACATATTTGTGCAAAGACTCAGTTCCGGCAGCATCTTTTCACTGGTGTCCTTCCGCGCTGACCTGTGACACTGCTTTGGGTGATTTCGAGTGCACATTTTAGGCAAAACAGAATTCTTTCGCTTTCTATTTTCCACACAGAAGAAATGAAGCTTGAAATTATTTGATGATTTTCACCTGGAGACCTTTCGAGAGACATGCACTATGTGAAAACACTTTGAAGTCATAGCCAGAATTAGGATTCCAGTTTAATGCTCTGACGCTTGAGCAGTTTCCTCAAGTAATGGGATGATTACATAAAGATGTCAATTTCCCCACATTTAAGTGCCTTGTACCTTATGTATTTTCTAATGGAAAATAATGATGGTTCCCATCTTGTATTTATTTATTTTTTTTAATCTGTGATGTCCTTGTGTTTTATCTTTAGCGCAAGCACAGAAAGATTCCACATTAAATTGTGAGGCTGACAGATGTCTGGACATTTCCACCATGACATCACCTACAAAAGCAATTTTAAATTCTGAACTCACTTTATGGCAGTACAGCTCAGAGGCCAGCTGAGAGATAGCAGGGGTCCACGAACACCCCAGTTTAACATGTATATCAGAAATGGAGAATTGAGATGCCCAGACGCTGATAGTATTGGTATTGTCTGTGCTGCACTCCTGAAATTCATTAAAAGCAGATGCATTGAGCAGTTTTACTTTAGTTTATTGCTGCCTGGATAATATTTCTCTGTATTTCCCTGTTTTTTTTTTTTTCAGTGCTAAAGTATGGGGTGTTTTTGCAAGACCTGCATACTGTAGTCATAAAAAATTGTTTGTACCGTTTCAAATAAATGCTGTTCTTTTAAACGTTTATTCATAAAAGAATCCAGAAAATTCTGTCATGGTTACCACAAAAATATTTTGCAGCACCACTGTTTTCAACATTGATAATAAATAATGAGCACCAAATTAACATATTAAAATGATTTCTGTAAAGGATCATGTGACACTGAAAACTAGATGTTGAAAATTCGGCTTTGCAATCATAGAAATAAATGACGTTTAAAATGGAAAGTTTACTAACTTTGTTTTAAAAATGTAATATTTCACAATATTACTGTTTTCCTGTATTTTTATCAATTAAAATATAACTAAATGTCTTTAAAAACATAAAAAATCTGGCTGAATATTCATTTTTATCAATATGCTTTATTTTATGCTTCATAATATACAATATTTATACTTCATTAATAGGGACAGTGAGAGATAAGACAAGAAATAGTCAAGAGCAGTGAAGAGTATCAGGAAATGTCGCAAGCATGATTTGAACTTGCATCGCCCACATGAGTATCAAGGCATGTGTGCTAACTTCTAAATTACAGCTATGACAGTTTTTGGCTGTTCACTCTGTTTGTGCCTAAAGACCCAATTAATCATTGTTTTTCACGTCTAGTCACTGGACCATCATCTGACAGATTACAGGTAGTTGACCATGTCTACATAGACAAATGGCTTCAGTCTTTGAGCCTTGAGATGAGGCCAGGTCTGTGAAATCCATGCCTGCACAAAGTTCCAACATCTATCTATCTATCTATCTATCTATCTTTCGATGGAATGTTGATTTTGGAGGCTTTGGTGAAAAGTAACACTCTTGAGAAAGCAGTCCTGCTTCACTCTGCCTGAAACTGACATACATGCAGCCTGTCACCCAAAACTCACTGTTTTCTTTTAGCATTTGTCTTTTAGTGTGTGTATGACATGTGCAAGGGTGGCAAAAGCAAACTATCCTACACGAACCCCGAAGAACATAACGTAAAGTCCACGAGTTTTCCAACCTTGGTTGTGGGTTTTTCCAATGGTGAGTCTGAAAGGAATTGAAGGTTTTATTTGTAAATTTGCACACCGTCCTCCACATAAAAAGCACCTTTGAGGTGTCGTAAATTGTATGCTGGCCGGGTGCTGCAGGTCCATATTTCTTTGTTGCTGTGGCTGATTGGGTGTTGAAAGGAGCCCAGAGGGTGTGGAGGGATGCTGCCGAGATGCACATCCTCCATTGCTCCCTGCAGGCTGGGTAGTGCCAAAACCACACCACATCCCTCTATTTCTGTTGATGAGGACTGAGGTTTATTTTGGGTTATTAGACAAGAGGGTGCATGGCTGGTTTGAAGGCAGGACACATGGTAACATAGAACTGGAACCAGGTTGGACCTACCTTTTGAGCTCAAACGGATTGAAGAGCATAAAAGGCATAATGAAACAAAAAACTGCATCCATCAGACTGCCTAGTTTAGCATAGTGAGCAATAAAAATTGAGATTTAAGTGTGTAAAGTGTATGATATTAGATATGCAAATTCTTCTAAGGCCTCCAAGTTAGAAACCTTATCAAAACTTAGCTGAAAAACTGTTGTTCACAATATACTACATGCCTTCTGTGATGTGATTAATAGTTTATTTTTTTTTATTTATTTTTTTTTTTTTTGGTAAGTAAAAATTCTAAAAACATCCCCCTCAGGGCATGGTGCACATCTTTTGCTGTGAAATCTTTACTTATTTTTTTCTAAAGCAAGAATAACTGTTTTTATACTGTTATTGATATTTTAAGATGAACACTTGCTGGACTGAAGAAATTTAGGTTTACAACCATACATTTTAAAACATCATGTTGGGAAGTGTGAGTATCAAATATGACAATCTCAATCATCGTCTTGCGTGGCATTGAGTTTTGGCACCTACATTAAAAACGGAGCTTTTATCATAAACTAATCATTTAAATGTCATCTTACAATACATATTATTGGAAGCCATCAAAGCCTGATGTATCAAATATGATATTCAGCAAAACACAGAGACACACACACACAATACTAAAGGTTCAATAAACTGTTCCAAATAGATTGTTCCTGACAGTTATTTTATTATTTTAT